CCGTGCTCATTCGCCATCGTGGGGACGCCACCCGTGATAGCATCATTATTTTCTAAGTTACAAGCTCCATCTACAAGCGCCTTAACCCAGTCACATAGAGGCCTTTTCCACTGCAAGTTGTCAGAGATCATAGAGCGAGACCCACAACTCCCATTAACATTGCGGATGGCGAAACTTTCTTCAAATTCCTCTGCTAAACAACAAGAGAAAAATAAAAAATCCTCTTTCTCGACAAAGTGCTCATCAAACAACACATTACAATGATCACTACAGCAAAATAGAGTTTTAGCGGCGTTTTTAAGCATCGTTAAAAGCACTTGCGGCGATAGGAAAAACGCCGCTAAAGTTAGCGACATTTTTGGAACAAACGCCGCAAAAAATTGATATCTCTAGCGGCGTTTTTGGAACAAACGCCGCAAAATATCGAGATATATAGCTGCATTTTTTGAACAAACGCCGCCATAGGTCAAGATCTATAGCGGCGTTTTTGGAACAAATGCCGCAAAATGTCGAGATATATAGCGGTGTTTTTTAACAAACGCCGTAAAAGGTTAGATCTATAGCGGCGTTTGTATCTAAAAATGCCGTAAAAGGTCATATCTATAGCGGCGTTTGTATATAAAAACGCCGCAAAAGGTCAGATCTATAGCGACGTTTTGGGATACAAACGCCACTAATTACCTCTTTAGCTAAGATTAATTGATTTTGCATATTTCATTTCTGCTTTACATCACTTAAATTTAATATCATGTAGATTTATCTAATTAACAACAACCATACATTTACATTAAGCACAAGTTATGCAAAAAAATACTTAACAACAAAATAAATTAAAATTTATAAACATTAAAATTAAATATAATGTTGTTTGACATTGTTCTTCATTGCAATAATCCAATAAGACATTTTTAATAAAGGCCAAGGAAATTAAAAAATGACACTCCACTTCCAACCATACCCAGAATTACATGTAGATTGAGACCTTCTTTACCAAAGAAAATGAAACCCAAAATCAGGACGAGAATAGTCTTCATATGGCCAAGCACTTGGACGATACGACCGTAAACCTGCCGATGCAGATAAATTGGCTGAGGTTGGTCCCCACGGCAATGGTGCAAGATAGGATTATGAAAAACTGCAATAAGAGAGCATCACATATTATTTACAACAGTCATAATTACCTGCATGCAAAATATATTTATAATCCATGTCAACTTGCACTAGCACATGAACTTCAGAATGTAGACTTCATGTTCATAGTTCTCCAGTTACAAAAACAGAAGAGGACAAGATTAAAAGTAAGTATGATGGTTAAATTTTCCACGTTTTCTTAATCATTAATCCTAGTTATATGACCAAATGCAAGGATGGAAGTAAGTTCTCAGTAAGCTCTATACAGACGAAGTATTTCTGATAAAATACCAAAACAACTTAAGTTAAAATGATGTATCATAACCAACTATATTCTAGTAAACTCTTATAAGAACCGTACCATAGATATGGCAGTGTAGTTATAGGCATAAACCTTTTTCTTTGTTAACCAGTAGTCCACAAAAGGACCAGAAAGCAGCAGGCTTGCAGCTTGTACCGGAGCAGTATGCCCCAATAAATCAAAAGATCCTAAAGAATGCTTGCGTTGAAGATAATGTACATACTGCAAAATGATAAATAAAATTAAAAAACAAAAAAGGAGCCAAAATATCAATCCAAGTACCAGATCAAGGAATGGTCTGTGCTTCATTTATGGAATGGATCAGTCCATGACAAATACATAGAGAACCTTGTTCAATCATAACATTAGTTGAAATTACTATCTGAAATCTTACAACTTAATTGTAGCTTTGGCACAGTAACAAATGGGACACAAAATCAAAGTATTTCTTAGGTGAATATTGTTAACTTTTGACTTGCACCATCAGAACTAACATAGTCATAACAAATCATATTATAAAAAGATACTTTTTGATATTTAAGGAATTTAAGACAATGAGAGTAGCTCTCTCTCATCCCACAATAGTGACCCATTGACAAGTTATCATACACAAGCTGAAGAAAACAATGCTGATCGAAGTTGACTACATTGTCTATCTACCATTAAAATATTATGTTCACTTCTTAACCCTCATCCATTCGTAAAAGCTCTCAAAGGAATATGCCAAAGCATATTAGAAATGCTAAAGTATGGTTTGGAATCTTCTAATCAATTTCTTATGCATGTGTACCCACTATATCTGTACAATATTTGTTTAAAATATATTTTTATTCATAATGCATGATTGCATTGACAAAAAAGCAACAGCATTATAACATCTAAACTCAACCTCCAAATCCAATATTAGTCCAGATAGTTCTCAAGTAATATCAAGCATTATACTTCTCTACATAAATTCTATCTCTAACAATATTTTATTGTTTATAAGAGTTACTAGGCATTTGAAAAAGTTAGTTCTGCTTTAATTGGAAAGGTTTTTTATTTTTTCCATTAACTGAAGAAAGACCATCTCCTGGAAGATAGAAATATTACCTTTATTAACTTCTGGCTTTTGGTGGATGTTCATCATGGTTGGAACATATGGTTCATACACATCTACATCAAGCACTCCTACCTTCAATTCATACATGTTAGCTAATAAAACCACCAAATTAACTATAAATATTGCAAATAAACCAACATGAGTGAAACAAATCCCTGGAAAAATGGTATTCCTAACCCATGAACATGAAAAAAGAATAGATTACCAGCAGTGGTAGACTTGCCAACACCACCTTTACCAGAGGCAACATTAATCACATCGTTAACCCCTTTAATTCTCAGTTGATCGTTTCTTAACAATAAATAGTTCCTAACGCCCCCAAGCCTCTACCCGAAGGAAAAACAAAATTAAAAACTTAATTTTTGAATCAACCCAAAAACAAGAGTCATTTTCTCAAAAAGAAAAGAAGGTTTTATTAGTGAAACCAATGAAGCACAAAGGCCTTTAATCTTATAGCAAAGGGTCGCCAGAAGCCCTTCATTGGAAAATCACTTAACTAACAGTTAGCGAGACTCACAAACAAAATCATAACAGCAAAAAAAATTGCATCTTTATTCACTAAGACGATGCGATGGTTGGGAATAAATTGTTAAAAGAAGGTGAAGGGGAACGCTGAAGCCAACAACATAGATCGACGAAACATACATGTTTTCACAGCATCTTTAACACCTGTGCAACAAGGCAACATAGAAACAAACGAAACCGAAGCAGCCTCAATTTTCCATAATTTTCTTGAAGCTGCTAAATCTAATCTAATTTAACAAAAATGAAACCGAAATTACACAATTCTAAAACTAAAAAAAAAAGAATCATGAAATATATATAAGAAGAAACTAGAACCTTTGAAAAATTCTTCAAGTTCTGAAGCACAAAGCTTAGACCCATCGATAGTGTTCTGAACAAAGAGACGGTTGTCTTGGTAATCTTCTTTTTCTTCGACCTTCTCTAGGGCTTGTAGATTTGGGGGGGATGAAATGAGGAGCCATTTTTGGTTTTAGCAGAACTTTAAAGCGAGAGAGAGCTTCTCTACTTTTGAGAAAAAAGTGAACTTAAAAAATGAGCGGTATAAACCTAAAAAAGGAAAAGGGGATCTGCGAGATTTTAAAATTTTCGGCGTTTGGAAATATAAATGCCACTAAAAATAGGAAAATGACGGCGTTTGTATAAAAGCGCCACTAAAGTACAATTCTTTAGCGGCGTTTGTTAAAAAATGCCACTAAAGTACGAGTCTTTAGCGGCGTTTATTGAAAAAAACGGCACTAAAGTACGAGTCTTTTGCATCATTTGTATAAAAACGGCCACTAAAGTACTAGCGGTATTTGTATAAAAACACCACTAAAGTACGAGTCTGGATGAACCTATTGCGGCGTTTATTTAAAAACGCCACTAAAGTACTACTCTATCGCGGCGTTTTTATAAAAACGCCACTAAAGTTATCATTTTGTGGCGTTTTCTATGTAAGCGCCGCAATATATTTAAAATTAGTGACATTTACTCTCAAAACGCCGCTAAAATCGCCGAACAATTTTGCTATAGTTAATGCTTCCAAAGCTGCCAAACAATTGTTGGAAAGAAGATATTTCAATTAAATTTGACAGCAATAAAAAAATGTTTTATCTTTTGATTCAACGAATTTTCAAACGTAAACAAATATAAGTTGTTTTCTCATTTAAATTAAAAAAAATGTTTAACTGCAGAATAAACAGCAACTGATGCAGATATGGCATCGTTTCCGTTATAGGATTGATACACATAAATAAAAATTTAAACACAAATGAAATTTTGATGAAGAATCTTGAATTTTTTATCTTTTATTTGTTGTCTGGCTATAAAGCTAGAATATATTTCAGCATGAATCAATGTCATGATCCCTAAAAAACATGCTGTGGAATCTAAATCATGTTTTAAAAGTAAATCTTGATGCCAACCTTTTCCCCTTCGACATTAATGAAACGAAAAGAGGGTTTCACGTTATGAAAAGAGAAGAAATAATAAGATCACGGATCTAAATTGTGATTGTGATCGAGTTTTTTTATTGTGTTGTACTTATCATGATTGCAGCAATATCGTATATTATTATTACGATCAGTACATATATCGTAATTATACATTTTTACTACACTATATAACGATTGCCGTTTCAATCTAGAATAAGATAACATCAAAGTAAAGTAGAAAGGAGATGAGAAATACAATTTTATGAAGTTTTAGTAGTTTTCATTCGTGGCACCATTAAATAAAACAAAGAACTTGTGGGGTTGAATTGAATAAAAAAAATCAATATTTTAAAGACTCAAAATTCTCTCTCTCTCTCTCTATCTCTCTCTCAATAGCATTTACAGCTTCTCCTCCATTAAATGCAATTGCACCATCTCAATACACTTTGCAATAACTTCTTGGCTGCCCCAGTTTTCTCCATCTTCTCCCTCTTCTTTGATTCTCCATCTTCTTCTTCATCACCATCATCTTCTTCTTCTTTATATGTCACTTTGTTTCTAGACCTATGCCCCTTAAACATACTTCTTATATATACCATTAAAGATCAAGCCTTACACTTTTTGCAGAAACCATTAGCTACAGGTCACAAGGGATCAAAACAGTTCCCTGGGGGTTTTTCTAGGGTTCTTTTTTATTAGGTAAAAAATTTATATGCGACAAGGTTTTTATAGAGTGTTTTAGTCTCTCTTTCTTTCTCTTTTTTGTTGTAATTTTTACTCTCAAATGATGCAGACATAGCCGAAGAACTAAAAGGGAAGGAAGTTGATTTCGAGGCTGACAAAGAAGGCATAGTCAGATTCTCCGTGATCTTCGTTGAAACGTTACCGGGGAGATTTTTTTTTATCAGATTCTTTCATTTTTCAACTTTTTCAACATTTTAACATTCCTGTATAGATCCTCTCCTGCTTCGTACATTGGCACGTAAGGAACCTTTTCAACTGCTAAAAGGCATAGTCAGATTCTCCGTGATCTTCGTTGAAACGTTAGAGTTTATCAGATTCTTTCATTTTTCAACTTTTTCAACATTTTAACATTCCTGTATAGATCCTCTCCTGCTTCGTACATTGGCACGTAAGGAACCTTTTCAACTGCTAAAACAAAAACCAGAAACTGCTTTGTCTCTCACTGCTAGAAAATCGAAAGGAAGAACATACATGAACAAATATTGGTTAGGGTTTCCGGGATTCTGAAACATGCCAGCCGGAGTAATGATTCCGGCGAGGAACATGCCGTCGATGATCACCGGTAACGGGAACGGTTTCGGAACATCATCCTCAGGACTTACCCTTGGTCAGGTTAGTACTCCATATTTGTGTGTCAAAGGGTTCTTAGGGTGCCTTTTGTGTGTTTTTAGTTCATATTTGTGGGTTAATCTCTTGATATTTTTTCCCCAGTTCTCATATTTCTTTTTTACCTTATCAGAAATGGGTATTTCCTTATATTATATTACCATTCCTTACCATCACACACTAAATAAAACAATAAATCTTTCTCTCCTCTTTTCCCCCTGTTTGGAACTTGAGAAAATGTGCATTTTTGTTTTACTATTCCAAGCAAAATCCTTCTCGATATTTGAGAACCGCGTAAAGCTTCTTTTTCTTTTTCTTTTTTTAAATACATAAATCTAGCTGCCCTGATTCTTCTTCTTCAGTTAAATTACTTCCATAACATGCATTTGTCGCATGTAAATCTAGTCTACTTATCATATACAAGTCCGTACGCTTAAATTTACTTTGATTTATTCTTTTCCAATGTGGGAAATGAGTTCTTTTAAGGTTTTTTGAGTGGGATTTCTCTCTCCCGATTATGCATGTTAGATTGAAAAATCATTGGAATCTTAAAGATCTGTAGATAATGTTCCAGCAGCAGCCTAACAACATGGTGGAAGGCCAACTTCACCCCCTTGAGATGACACAAAACACTTTGGAAAGTGAATTTGCTCGAACCAAAGACGATGAATTCGACAGCACTAACAAATCCGGCAGCGAAAATCACGAACTTGGTGGCTCCGGCGACGACCAAGATCCTCGTCCCAACAAAAAGAAGCGTTACCATCGCCATACCCAGCATCAGATCCAGGAAATGGAGGCGTAAGCTAAACAAACCCTTTTTTATTCAACACATTAATTTATATACTACACTAAAAGCTAAAAAGGCTTCTTTCTTTTTCCTTTGAAAATTTTCTACTTTGTTTATAGATTTTTCAAAGAGTGTCCTCACCCAGATGACAAGCAAAGGAAGGAACTTGGGCGTGAGTTAGGGTTAGAACCATTGCAAATCAAATTCTGGTTCCAAAACAAGCGTACCCAAATGAAGGTATATAACTATATATATGTGTGTGTGTGTAAAAACGTGGTATTTTCCCTTAATTTAAGTAGTTTGGCTTGAAGCTACCCTATATTTAAGCTATGGGTCTTCCGTGAATTAAACTAAACCTTAAATGTCAATGTTTTTCTTCAACAGACCCAGCATGAACGCCACGAGAACACACAGCTTCGAACTGAGAACGAAAAGCTAAGGGCTGACAACATGAGGTATAGGGAAGCTTTGACCACGGCATCATGCCCAAATTGTGGAGGTCCAACTGCTGTAGGACAAATGTCATTCGATGAACATCATCTCAGACTTGAGAATGCTCGATTAAGGGAAGAGGTATACGATTAGACTTTAACAACTTTTAATAGTGTTTGTTTTTATAGATTTCTAATGTTTCTTTTTTCTTTTAATTTTTCAAAACAATTTAGATTGATCGTATATCAGCAATAGCTGCAAAGTACGTTGGCAAGCCACTGGCGAACTTTCCTCTTCTTTCTTCTCCTGTGCCTCCTCGACCGTTTGAATACGGTGCGCAACCTGTCACCGAGGAGATGTATGGTGTTGGTGATCTGCTTAGGTCGATAAGTGCACCGTCCGAGGCTGATAAGCCGATGATTATCGAGCTTGCGGTGGCGGCCATGGAAGAACTAATTAGAATGGCTCAGATGGATGAACCTTTATGGATGGCCAGTCTTGATGGCTCGACCTGTGTGCTGAATGAAGAAGAGTATATTAGAACATTTCCTAATGGAATTGGAACAAAACCTACTGGCTTCAAATCCGAAGCTTCAAGAGAAACTGCTGTTGTTATCATGAACCACGTTAACCTAGTTGAGATTCTCATGGATGTGGTAAGCTTTTACAATTACCATCAATATATATATATATATATATATATATAATATATATATGTATATACCTGACTGAAAGCAAGAACAACACTATATTTTGGGATTTTGTTTTGAAATTCAGCACCAGTGGTCAACTTTGTTTTCGGGAATAGTTTCAAAAGCTTCAACTTTGGATGTTCTCTCAACAGGAGTAGCAGGGAACTATAATGGAGCCCTTCAAGTGGTAATGTGGAATTTCATGTTTACATCGATAAATAGTTGAATCAGTTACTACAAAACTTTTTTTTTTCCTCTTTCATTTCTTAGATGACAGCTGAATTTCAAGTTCCTTCACCTCTTGTTCCCACTCGTGAGAGTTATTATCTAAGGTACTGCAAACAGCATGCAGAGGGAACTTGGGTTGTTGTTGATGTTTCCTTGGATAATATACGCCCAAGTCCCACTATCAAATGCAGAAGAAGACCATCTGGTTGCCTGATTCAGGAAATGCCCAATGGGTACTCTAAGGTAACCTAATTTTCGTATGATTTATAGTCTTACATATCAATATCATGTTTGTTTTACTCTTATCTTTCTAGCTCCACTGTTATGCAATGTAGGTTACATGGGTTGAGCATGTAGACGTGGATGATAGAGGTCTTCACAATCTGTACAAGCAGCTCGTAAGCTCCAGCCACGCGTTCGGAGCAAGACGTTGGGTGGCTACTTTGGATCGACAGTGCGAGAGGCTCGCTAGTCTTTTGGCTTCGAACATTCCCGCCGGTGAAATTGGGGGTATAACATGAACACATCTCTTTTAGCTGTATATGTATCGGAATAACTACAAAATTGTGATGTTTAAATCATGTTTGAACAATATTTACCTAGTCATAACAAATCAAGATGGGAGAAAGAGTATGCTGAAGCTAGCTGAGCGAGTGGTAATCAGTTTCTGCGGTGGAGTGAGTTCCTCGACTGCTCACACGTGGACGACATTATCGGGAACCGGGGCCGATGATGTGAGGGTGATGACACGAAAGAGTGTAGATGATCCAGGGAGACCTCCAGGGATTGTGCTTAGCGCTGCAACTTCCTTTTGGCTCCCTGTTTCACCAAAGAGGGTATTCGATTTCCTCAGAGACGAGAATTCTCGAAGTGAGGTATGTATCGATCAAGATCTTTCAAAGTATTGCAAGTGTTTAACTGATCCTGCAACTTGGTTCTTGTAATCACAGTGGGATATTCTTTCTAATGGAGGAGCTGTCCAAGAAATGGCACACATTGCGAATGGTCGCGATCCAGGCAATTGTGTTTCACTGCTTCGGGTAAACGTAAGCTCTGCATTTACTAATTCCACAATTGATCGAATTCGGAATTTAGTTTGGTTATTTGTAACATGAAATAAATTTATGCAGAGTGCAAATTCAAGCCAAAGTAACATGCTGATTTTACAAGAGAGTTGCACTGATTCAACAGCCTCTTTTGTTATCTACGCTCCTGTTGACATTGTTGCAATGAATGTTGTCCTAAACGGAGGGGACCCGGACTACGTTGCCCTCCTTCCCTCGGGTTTCGCAATTTTGCCCGATGGAACCGATGGTGACATTGCTGATGCCAGCGGGTCCGGTGGATCTCTTCTAACTGTTGCATTTCAGATTTTGGTCGACTCCGTGCCAACGGCAAAACTTTCTCTAGGATCGGTTGCAACCGTGAACAATTTGATCGCATGCACCGTTGAGAGGATAAAGGCTTCTCTGTCATGCGATAATGCATGAACTACTACAGCTTTACACTGTAGCAATCTTAGCTAGGTATGATAACACCAACTTTGAAAATTTGTTGATTGGGAGATATTGATGATCCAACATCACTTAAATTGCGGTTGCGGTCACGTTTTTAGTTCCGTTATTTAAATCCATGATCACTAATATATATTGTGTTTGATGCAGTGATTAACCTAAGGAGGAAGCAAGGGAAGGTAACTTAAATTAAATTCGATCTTTGGAATTACAGAAAAGAGAAGGGATGAAGTCAAGAACGCACCTTGCATGATCCTCTTTGACATGTTGAACTTTTGTTTGGGAGCCAAGAAAATATTATGACCTAAGAAAATTCATCAAGTGTTTAAGAGTTAGAGGTTCGGGAATTGACTTCCCCAAGGAAAACAAATGAACGAAAGTGAATGCAAAAACTTTTTATAGAGAGACCTTAGGGTTTTAAAGTTTTGCATAAGTAATTGGATATTTACTTCCCTTGTTTCATTATTTCCTTTTGATTGATTGTTTTTCTTAATTAGGTACAAATATGATTGAACATTTAAATTTAAAATCATTGACAATTTAGTGGAATAACTCTCAATTAAGAATGCATAACATGTTAATGTACAAATTTGATGACGATAATGCCAAATGGTCGACCATGTAATAATCAATTTCATAAGTATAATTATACAACTAACATAGTTACTAAAAATAAATAATATTTATACTTATAATTAAAAAATTTGTAACATGTTAGACATTTGTAAGTAAAAAAATTAAACAAAGTGATATTAAGGTATAATAATAAATGTGCAAGAGATGATAATGTTTAACGTGTTTTGATTTTATTTATCTCCACGGATTAGAGAAAAAAATAATTCACCATAAATATATGATCACAAAATGTATTCATAATATCACATACATTTCAACACATGATATATCTTAAAATATTTTCTCACATTCTTATAAAACTCATTTATGCAATGTAAACCTCAAAAGTTGCATAAACTACAGAAAGATCACTTCTTTATGAAATAATTCTTTCTCGTGATTCTAAAGGATAAAGTCGATACTTAATAGTATTTGTTCAAAGACTCTCAACTATTTGACAATTAACGCTCATACCCCTGATATTTGCGATGTTCAAACCTAAAATCTCAGGGGATAACCAACGAGATCGTTTGGTTCGTAAAAAAATTAAATAAATAAAACATTTAGTAAATGATTAAAATAATTGCAATGATGTATAAAAACATAGTAGTAAATGATGGACAGTGTAGTTAGAAAATTTGGTAAGTTATTAATTATAATAATTGTTTTATGTTTACGATTTCATTAATACTTCAATTACGTTTTTATATTTATAAATAATTATAAGTTATCTCATAAGTATAAGAGAAATTATTTCATGGATTTTTTTCACCACGTCATCAATGATCCCAACTAATTAAATAAATCTACGTCAAATTTTTTGTCATTTGTATGAAAAATTATTCTATGAACCTTGTTTATCACCTCATCGTGTACACATTACATCTACTTTCCACATCATATTTCCTTAATAATTAAAATTTTTAAATCATCATCTTCTTCTTTATCCCATCATCTTTTTCCCAATCTTTAAGCATTAAATCTCCATATTTTCTTCTTATTCTCGCTGCATAAATATGTAAAAACACAATCCATGTTGATTCTATCATTGAGTCCCTTTGAAGAATTTAACCAATCCATCCTTTTAAAATATAAAGATTCCATTAAAGACTCACACGATCCATGATGTACAGAAAACATCATTTTTCATAAGAATACCACTTGATGGTTGCCACAACTATGGTAATAATACCCTCGCAGTTGCCCATGGGATGTAGCAACCATAAAAAATTACCGTAAAAATCATCATAAAATATTCACTTCCATTTTATGTATCTCCATGCCTTACCATTTGAATCACAATCACTTCACTGCCATCTTCAAAGCAAGTGAATAGCAATGGATTCTAACCCCAAAATAGCATTATCAGAATTTGTGAAGATTGCTTTATTCTCTCTGGATATTAATATTTTCGGAGTATATTAGAGGATATAATAAGAATTACAAAAAATTTGAAATTGTGTTGATTTTAAATCTCACCACAATGATAAATTTAGGATTTTATGGGTGCTTAAGAACAAAAAAAATTATAGAAATTTATAAGTTTTTATAGAATTGTGCAGAGAGAAGTAGAGCAATTTTTTCTTATATTCAATGAAATTTTTGTTGGTTAAAAAAATAAAAATATATATATATAAATAATAAATTTAAAAGAATTTTAAATTTTTGTATTGATTTTAAATTTCAATAATAATGGTGAATCAAAGAAAGAACATAACAAAACATGGAGATTTGATGCTTGAAGTTTAATTGGGGAAGAAGATGATGGGAATTGGGATAAAGAAGAAGATAATGACTTTCCAACAAAAGGATCACCTTCAACTTGGAAAGGAACCCCATGCGTATCACGGAAAGAGAAAAATATGTGATGCTTAAACCTTGAAGCTTAACCTTTGAAGGGACAGAAGAAGTTGATGACAACAGGCTTGAAACTCCATGATCCCCAACAAGTGGGCGGTCCTTGATAGAGATGGCCAGCAACTGGGGGTAAACTTTCGGATAACTTGAATGCCCTTATTACCAATCTTTGGGCAAGATTCGATGCTCAAAGCAGTCAAATTTGTGCAGTTCTATGCAATTGCAATTAGCCCCTTGTTTGAAACAGAGGCACTGGCAAAGGTCAAGATTGTTTTGTGAGTGGAGCAAAAGAGCATTAATGAATACCCTATAAATAATTCCTAAATTTAAGTTTAATTTTGATATGTATTTGGGAAATAAATTTCATGTGTATAAATGACATAAAAAAATTAATGTAAATTTATTTAATTGGTTGGAATCATTCATGAAGTTGTGAAAATGATCAATGAAATAATTTCTCAAAGTATAGATTAAACAAATGTACAAGTTTTAAAGTTGCAAACATTTTTGGCTTAATATAAAAATAAGTGTTGAAACTATAATTTTTTTAAAGTGGTGCCTAAACTTTTTTGGGTCAATACATGCGCTTAACGTTCTAAACATTACCACTTTAGATGCATCGGTCGTTAAAAAAACCATTAAGTGACACGTGTCACTCCAAGTAATTTTGAAACGTTTTTTTTTAAAACCTTTAAAATATCATCAAGTTTATATAAAAAAACTCAATTTTTCTTAAATTACAAAAAAAAATCCTCAAATCCCTAAAAATCTCAAATCCCTAGCCCTAACCTTACCTCCCTTGCCGGTCATGGTCATCGCCATCAATGTCGTCCTTTTCATCTCTCTAGTCAGATGTCGTTATCCTTGTCATTGATTGGCCGTCAGGATCGCATGGGGTCATAATTTGCATCTTTGTTCTTCGACGGGGGGTCGCTTGATTCATCGTTCGTTGGCTCCAATTGTAGTGGTTGTTCGTGGGGTTATTGGTCATCAGGTGGAAGTTCGATGACGATAAAGGGTGGCGGTCGACATGGATTTAGGGATTAAAATAAAGGTTTTTAAAGTTTTGAGTTTTTAATAAGATTTCTAAAACTTTTGAGATTTTTTTTAAAGAAAATATATTTTTATGTTTTTATTTTAAATTAAAATGTTCAAAATTACCAAAGCATGACATGTGTCACTTAAAGAAATTTTTTGACAGGTGTTACGACCAAGACACCTAAAGTAGTAATGTTTGTAACGTTAGGCACTTGGATTGACATAAAAATATTTAGGCACCACTTTGGGAGAAGAGGAATAATTTGAGCATTTATTTTTACATTTAGCTAACATTTTTAATAAAAGTGTGATTTACACAGATGATCATGACTATAGAGTATTATTTTGTTGAGTCTCCGACTATTAAAAGTTATAAAATGATCCATCAACTACAGGGCAATGCTTTATTAAGTCTTCGGCTATTAAAATTTACAAAATTGTCACCTAACTATTCATTTGTTCTAAACTCATTCTTTTTTGGCTAAAAACTTAGCAATCTTCTGAGCTGGACGTTAACATGTTGTTTGAGATATGATAAGATCCTAAGACCATTTGAGGTATATTTTATGGATCGAGTCTCCATTTATATTATATTCTCGAGTTAGTGCTTGAAACATTGTACCATCGAGCTGATGCTTGAAAGCAACAATGGTGCCTATAGATATCATTAAAAATATAATTTTATCATTCTCAGTTAGTAAATTCATGTCCAACTCATACAGCTGTCAATTTTTAAACAAAAATTGACACGTTTGGAACATATGAAGAGTTAGATAATCATTATGTATATGAATAGTTAAATAATCATTTTATAACTTTTAATCGGAAGACTCAATAAAGTAATATTTTATAGTAGAGAAATCATTTTATAACTTTTAATAATAAAAAAAACTCAACGAAACAATATCAATGATCATTTATGTTATTCACCCTTTAATGAATATAGGCAAATAGTGCGTAGCCATAATGCCTTTCGCTAATAAGATGACAACAGAATATCCGCCTTAAAAACAGGCGAGCAACATTCATCGTTCCCTGCTCGTGCTTAGCTGTTTGATCATCAATTCCCCTCAAGATAAGATCCATGACGCTACATCAGTAATAAAAAAAGATCAATCACAAAGCATTTCATTTTGACCGAAGCCAAAAAGGGTTCTAAAACAATCATCTCGACAAACAGTAGCAGGTAATGCAATTGGCATTTAACTAGCAGGCAATAATCATACAAAAACGTCCTAAACATGACATAAAATGATTACATAAGAAGTTTGAAGAGAAGATGTGTTTCTCTCAACTTTCATGCCGTTTTCTTCGTAGCAATTGCAGGTCTTTTGCCATCGGTCTGAGACTTGCCGGAGTGCGGAACCAGCCCCCGCAGCAAGGCCAAAACACCTACTCCCAAGAAAGGAGAGTACATATTGTCAACAACTTATCCGATGCCTTCTGGGATCCCACCAGCTCCCCTAATAGAGCAGTCTGAAAATTTTGACACAAAGTTAACAAATTTAGATGCAAAGTATTTGATGAATTGACAAACTGTGTTAGCCCCAATACTCACATCAAATGTGATGTGAAAACCCTTCTCAGAAATGGAAAACCCACATTAGCTTAAATTTGGAAGTCCCAGAGAATTCGAAACTGAGTACGCAAAGCGTGTATATATTAGTAATAATTAAAGAAAAATGGTTATCCAACTATAAGTTATTTTGTTAAATCCATCTACCATTAAAAATTATAAAATGATCACTTGACTATTCATATGTTACAAACTCATCATTTACGTCTAATATGTACGTTATTCTGGTGATTGAAATATGATAAAATTTGATCCCAAAATCATTTAAGTTGTATAGTGTTTGAGATTCTAAGATCAAGTTTTATTATATCTCAGTCAGCAGATTAACGTCC